ACACGCACGGAGCAACACAGAGCTCTGCGGCATCTGAAAGTCCAACCCACCGACGGCATTGCATGCTTTCTTGGACGGTGGAAAAAACAAAGCGACTGAGGGACGCTATAGGGTGGTTCTCTTGTTTCGATGGATTAGTCTCTTTAAGTTAGAAGCAACCTGATGGCCCATCAGATGAAGAATCTCACATCCAGATCCTTCTCAGGCTGGAGAAACCAAGAAGTCCCATTTCTTCCTGGCAAGGAGGGGAGTTTTCTTCCCCCTCCCCAGCTCTCACTAGAAAGGAGGGTCCCATTTCTTCCTGGCAAGGGGGGGAGTTTTCTTCCCCCTCCCCAGCTCTCTCTGACTCCCTGCCTTTCTGAGACCCACACGGATTTTCTTGGCTCCCCTCCTGCCCAATTCGCCAACAGGGTAAATGGGATTTAAGACCGACAACTGTCGAACACATTCAGTCATCAGGGTGGAGCCCTGCTTGTGACCACCACCACCTCACCCTTTATCCCCAATTGATGGCTGTCACGATGCCTCCTGCCCATATTCAGAGGCTCTCTCCTCCCCCGCCTTTCCTGCATGTGGATGTAAAGAAGTTCTGATGAGGGTGACGTGCTCTGAGCAGAGGACTTGGAACAGCTTTCCTGCAGGTGGATGTAAAGAAGGTCTGTCCCCTTAACACATTGGGTGGAATCAGGCACTTCCTGGTTATGCTTCCCAAGCTGTGGGACTCTGCTGCCAGGCCCAACAGGATTTCCGGCATCATTTTGTGTTGCCTCGGGTCCTTCCTGGAGGGAGGGGGCTGAACAGGAGGACAAAGGGTAGTCCTATTTAGCAGCATGGCTGGATGGTGGATGTAAAGAAGGTCTGTCCCCTTAACACATTGGGTGGAATCAGGCACTTCCTGGTTATGCTTCCCAAGCTGTGGGACTCTGCTGCCAGGCCCAACAGGATTTCCGGCATCATTTTGTGTTGCCTCGGGTCCTTCCTGGAGGGAGGGGGCTGAACAGGAGGACAAAGGGTAGTCCTATTTAGCAGCATGGCTGGATACTGGCCTGGGGGCGAGTGCCCTGCCTTTGGTCCCGTGCTGGTTGGTTAGGCTTCCTTCGGTCTCAAGAGACAAGGGCTACATGTTCTGAGCAGAGGACTTGGAACAGCATCTCATGTGGCTGAGAAGGCCAATTCGAGAGTGACCATCCCTTCCACCCTGAACACAGATACAATCAAGTCCTCTGTCCAGCTCCCTGGTTTTGCTGGCGACCATCAGCCATGTTACATCCTGTGCTATGTAACATAAATCTTGGCCACATGGGACACTGTTCCAGGTCCTCTGTTCAGAGCACGTTACCATAGTCTCTTGAGACTGAAGGATGCCTAAATCTAATTCAGACCAGGGGGACGTGAAGCCAATGTGAAGGATATATCAGGGGTCTCCTACCAACTAATCCTCAAACTGAAGAAGCTGCTCGGAGGAGCAGCAAAACTGTTCAACCTAATAAGGAAGAAGTCCAGTTGCCATGAGTCAACTTCCAGAGAACTTCACTGGATGACTGAGGATCTTCACAGATAGATTGTAACAATAAATAGGGTTGGATGCTGTCGGCATATGGATGGCACCCACCACCTCATTCTCCCTCCTTTTCATCTGACTTCGAAGTGGTTGCTTTGATCCTAGATCTGTGTTCGATCTTAGCAAAGGGCTGCGTGAGGGCTCCATCCAGACGAGAAAAAGAGGGTCCTTAAGGCTATGTGCACACTGTTGTGTGAAGATACAAAATGCAAGGTTTGTGGAACACAACGTTGCCATGGGTTTGAGTTGTCTGAACTGGGGTCTCCTGGTCCTTCCATGCAGGCTTGGAAGGCAGTGTGAGCCCTTCTCTCATCCCCACCAGCCTCAGATGCACACCTGGTGAGGACAGGAGGGAAGGCCCTTGGGGTGGGGGTGGGGGCTTCTCCCGCGTTGCGGAACTCCCTGCCACTGGGACCTGAGGTGCCCCCTCTCTGCTTCTTAATGGTAATAACCATCAGCCAGGTTTCAAAGCAACTATGTAATCGCTGAGGGTGGGGCTTTTAAAGGATGGATACACGTCACTCTCCTTGATATGTTTTTTCAAACTGTTTCTTTTCATCGTTGGTGTTTTAGCATTAAAGCTTGTTTGTGCTTTAACATTGTAACTCACTGTGCTTATATATGTACCTTTTTTTTTGCGAGCCGTTGGGAGAGAAAGCTGGCAGATCCCTTCCATGCAAGAGAAGAAACAGAGAAAAAGACAAATAAATACATAAATAATTTTTGTGACCACATTCCAGGAGGGGGTGAGAGGGAGATGGTTCCCTTTTAACAGGCCTATCTTCCTGTTTCTCCTTTAACACTTCCTGGGGGGGGGGGCTCATTAGACTACAGCTCAAGTTCCCTCTTTTAAGTCAGGATTGAAGCATTTGGATGTTTCAGATCTTAAACCAGATCCTTCCTCAACTCCTGTCACTATTAGAGGAATGGACCATAAGAATGAAATTGCAAGCATCACATAGAATCGTAGAAAAATGAAGTTGGGAGGGGCCTTCAAGGCCATCAATTCCAACCCCCTGCTCAATGCAGGAATACAAATCAAAGCAGATCTGCCAGTTGATTATCCAAGTTTTTCTTGAATGCCTCCATGGTTGGAGCGCTCACCAACTCCCAAGGTAACCGGTTCCACTGTCATACTGCTCTAACAGTTAGGAAGTTTTTCCTGATAGTCAACCGAAATCTGGCTTCCTTTAACTAGAACCCATTGTTGCGTGTCCTGCACTCTGGGATGATCGAGAACAGATCCTGCCCCTCCTCTCTATGACAGCCTTTCAGATATTTGAAAGGTGCTATCCTTTCACCCCTCAGCCTTCTTTTCTCAAGGCTAAACAGGCCCAATTCTTTCAGCCTTTCTTTTTAGGGCTTGGTTTCCAGGCCCTTGATCCTCCTTGTTGCCTTCCCCTGAACTAGTTCCAAATTTGTTAGCATCCTTTTTGAAGTGTAGTGTCCAGAAATTGACACAATACTCAAGGTGAAGCCTAACCAGTGCTGAATAGAGAGGGACTAGCACCTTGCGGAATTTGGAAACTATACTTCTATTAATGCATCCTAAAATAGCATTGGCCTTTTTTGTAGCCATCTCACACTGTTGGCTTATATTTAGCTTGTGATCTACGACAATTCCAAGATCCTTCTCACTTGTAGTTTTGCCGAGCCAGGTACTTCCCCATCTTGTAACTGTATACATGTTCACTTTTCTCTCTAAGTGTGTGTAGCAGGGGTTGAACTAGAAATAAAGGAAACCCCGCCCCATATGAAAAGCAAGTTCTCAAATCTTCCTCCCTGATGCCCTAGATTTCTGCATGCAGTCCATTCTTGGGCAGATGAGCAGAATGAGACTGGGCGCTAAATACAAGAGACTGGCGGGGAGCGGAGAAGATTCAGAGCTGGAGGTTCCATTGCTCTGGAAGGATAGCAAAAGATGACAAGCCACACTCCAAAATCTAGTAACTGCGTTATTACAGTGCTATTACCTCTGGATCTCTGGCAATGGAATCCGAACAGTTAATGGGTCTCCCTTAACTAAACTCTCCCCCTCCCCCTGAGAGTAGAGGGGACGCCAAAGTAGGGATCAGATTTCACTTCCCTGCACACAAGTCTGTGCTCACTTTTCAAGGGAAACAAAACAGGGAAGCTGGATGCAAGCCTAGCAGAGCAAAAAAACAAAACAAAAAACCCACCACACGAAGAAGCCACTTCAGCTTCCGACTCAGCATGTCCACCCACACAGGGACCCTGGCTGCAGTAGTGCGGCTGGCTGAAGGACAGGAGCCCTTTAGGAACCAGTTCCATCAGAAACCTTTAGACCTTGTGTTCAAGGTGCCCCAAAGGGCGTTCTGTGTGATGGTGGGTTTTCCCCTCTTGCAACCGACAAGCAGAGTCACACCTTTGGAAACTGAGGGAGCACACACAAAAGGGTCTTCCCTGCTCTGCCAATTTCATTTACAGGCAATAATCCACCCACTTGGAAAGCAAGGGCTTGGCCAGAAGGTGGAATGGCTGAACGGAATAAAAGGGACCATCAGGACAAGAAAACCACCCTCTCGGGGCGAACAAAACGCAGCTGCTTTGTTTTTTCAAGAAAGAACATGATGCCATCAGTATGTTGGACTTTCAGATGCCACAGGGCTCTGCGCTGCTCTGTGCTCCGCCTTTGCCCTTCCCCAACCCTAGACTTGTGTGTGTGTGGGGGGTTTCCAGCTGGATGCAGTGCTTGTCCTGTTTGCGGCTGGCGGAGGGACTTTCCCTGCAAGGGAAGCTTGAGCTCAGCCAATCAAAGGCCCCAAGACTGTGGTTGTCATCAGTTGCCAGGCAGGAAGAGAGCACTTTTGCTCCTGTCCAGTCTTAGTCTCCTTATCACAGGCTGCTATTTAAATGGAAAATGCTGCCACCTGCATAACGAAGGCACTGAGCAGCGGAGCCCGTCAGAGAGGTTCTGGATGAAGGAGAAAGTCGTGGAACGCCGATATATGCCAGGCGCTGTGCTTCTCAAAAATCTTAGGAATGGAGGGGGGGGGTTGTCACCACGGAGGAAGCCCAACCCCCAGGAAGCCACCAGAGAACTATCTTTACATTGTGTGGCCAGCGATGGATAGAGGTTGTTCTGCCAGTTGGTTTCCTGATGGAGTTTTTTAAGCTGTGCATAGTATAATCCCAGAATTATCATCTCAGAGTGAATGCAATTATTATTCTTATTCTTATTCTTATTCTTATTCTTATTCTTATTCTTATTCTTATTATTCTTATTCTTATTCTTATTCTTATTCTTATTCTTATTATTATTATTATTATTATTATTGATTGATTGATTGATCGATTGATTGATTGATTGATTGATTGATTTCAGTGGCTTTCACCTTGAAATGGAAAGTTACAGCAAAACCAATGATTCAAAGCCTTATCCAGAACTTAAATGGAAAGAAACACTCCTGCAAACATATTCCCAAGATGTATATTTTATTTGTTTTCTTTGCCCTAGGCAGAACATTAGGAAAGGAAAGTCACCCGAATGCCCGCAGTGCAAAAGAGGGGGAAATCTCTGGCAGTGGCTCCAGGATCAAACAGGGAAGCCTCTTGGCATGGGGAACCCTTCCCAAGTTGGGAGCCTCATCAGGGGAGCAGAATTAAGCACTCAAAAAGGTCTCCCCTTACAAGAAGCACTTGGGTTATGAAAAGCTCCAGGCTTCAAACTGTACAGGATGTGCCCAGCAAAGGTCCAGGGAAGTGAGGGACCAGGAGGGAGCGGGCTCTTCGGGGAAGGAGGGGAAGGACCTCCATGACCCTCAGAGGTCAGAAGACAGAACAGCAGGCTTTTGGGAGCTGGTTCTAGCCGGAAAGCCTTTGCAAACGCCAGGAGCTCAGAAGAGGACCATCTGAGCCTCGCGGAAGTGGCTGGCAGGGAGAGGAGGTGGCCGGCTATCCCTTGATCATCTGAAAAAGAACAAGGAGGACATGGTGAAGAGAAAGCTCCCAGTTCCCACGGCAGGTGGATATATATATATATTCTTGGCAAGTGCCGCAATAGGTCTGGCCTTGGACTCAGCTTCTCGTAGAAGGCTTAGAAGAGAAATGCCCCAAGGGCTGAGGATCAGATGTGCCCCCCATACTTTGCTTTAGCTTCACTCCCTTTCTCCTCAGCCCCCTTCCTGCACCCTGAGCCAAGCTCTCCTGTACTGCTAGGCTCTTTCCCTGAGATCGATCGATCGAGCGATCTATCGATCGAGCGATCTCTCTATCTATCTCTGATCTGTCTCTTTAGTTTATTTGTTTATTCCTCCCTCCCTCCCTCCCTTCGCCTTCCCTTGCCTTGGCTTTTCTTAGAATGGGGTGCAAAGTTCCTCTCAGCCATCTTGGAGATGGCGAGACTCAAGGACCGCCACTGAGGTGTATGATCTTCCCACAGGATGGCACTGATCTCACTCGCACCCTTGTAACCTCCATTTGGGGCTTGGTTTTGTGGGACCGAGATGGATTTTACTCACATGGTGCCGGCGCGATTGTTCCTCTTCCTGGCCTTGAAGAAGAGGACGGTGCCGGCAATGATGCCCAGGATGCCAAGGGTCAAGCCCAGGCCACAGAGGATGTTCTCCATCGTCTCAGAGACAGGAGGAGACACCTTGGGGGCTGAGGAGGAAAAAGGATGGGGGTCAGAGTCTTTGAAACAGGATTCCCACCCCTTTCCCACCACCTGACCCCAGTTTCTCTGGTACTTCTCTGGAGCTGTTTTTTTTTTTCTTCCTCCCCATTGGTAGAAATGTCTTCTGCTATCTTCTAGCAACCTCCCCCAAAATGGGTCTATGTTGGCTCTGTGCTGTTGGCACCCTTGTGTGGGACCGCTTTGCACAGGGGCAGATGTGCGCTCAGAGGTCTGCCTCCCCCTTGAGGCTCCACTTTGCCCTTATCCGAAGACTTAGAACTCCAGATAAACTTGGAACGGTTGCCAGCCCCTCATCAAAGCCTAGAAGAAGGCCGAGAAGGACCTTGCTTGGCTTCTCAGCTTCCCTCACACAACAATGCCAATATGTGTCATGGTCCTCATCTTTTGGGGCCGAGTCATTTTCAGCTTTGAATCTGGTTCTCTGGTTTCTAAAGCCGGAGGAGACCGAATCCTGCTTACTCCAGATTTTGCTCAGACTCTCCTGGAGGCCCCAGTGGTCCACTTTGCAGGCGTAGAAGTCTCCTTCCTCGGGGACGAAAGCCAGGTAGGAGAACTTGCGGAAAGTCCAGTCCACGCTGGGGTAGAAGGCCGTCTCCTGCACGCCCTCCGAGACCACCTGCCCGTTCTTCAGCCAGGTGATGTTCAGCACTGGGGGGAAGAACCTGTCCACGAAGCAGATGAGCACGTTGGGGTCCCCCAATTCCACTGGGTCTTCAGCATATACAGTTGCTGAAGGAGGAGCTGAGGAAGAATATCAACAAAGTTAGTGGTCCTTGGGATCCAGAGCCCCGTTTCTTTCATGTGACCCCCCCCCCACATGATCTCGCTTCTTCCTGAATTCTTTTGCAGTTATTTTGCTTAAATGTATTGGATGGAGGGTTACCTTGAAGGTATCAAACTTGATGGAGTTTTGAGACAGTGTTCAAAGGAAACATGATCTTGCTTCTTCCTGAATGCTTTTGCAGTCAAGGTATTTGGGATTTTGATTCCCCACTGGGCCTCCTGAGAGAAGATCCAGTCTGGGTGGCTTTGGGCAAACTCCACAGTCCCAGAATGCCCTCAGAAGAAGGGAATGGGAAACCACTTCTGAGTGTCTCTATCTAGACACCCCTACAAAGGGTTCCTACAAGGAGAAGCTAAGAAGATGAGCCCTGCTGGATCAGGCCAAGGGCCCATCTAGTCCGGCTTCCTGTCTCTCATGGTGGCCCCACCAGATGCCTCTGGGAGCACACGAGACGACGAGATCCCTGTCACCTGACCCCCCCCCACACACATGTGGCCTTTGGAGGTCTTTTCCTTCAAAGCCTGGAGGTTATACCTCCCCAAGACGACTTGTCACCTGCAATGGACTTTCACTCCAGGAATCTGTCCCATCCACGTTGAAAGGCATCTAGGTCATATACCATCACCCCATCCTGTGGCAAGGAGTTTCACAGACGGAACAACACGCTGGGTCAAGAAATATTGTCTTTAGTCTCAACCAGTGGGTGTCCCCTGGTTGTGGTCTTGTGTGCGAGGGAAAAGAGCTTCCCTCTCTCCACTTGATCCATCCCCTGGGTAATTTTAGACATCTCCATCATGTCCCCCCTCAGGTGCCTTTTCTCTAGGCTAAAGAGCCCCAAATGCTGGAGGATGGGTGTGGAACAAAAACTGACCCAAACACATCACGCCTCCTTGAGGGTGACCATGGTCCTCTCTACGTGGAGGCGAGGTGATGCTCTGGAATCAGGCTCAGGAAGGTAGGGGGCATCCTGGGAGAAAGGATGAAGGGCAGGGCCAAAGGAGGGAGCGGGGGGGCGGGGGGAGGGAAAGGGAGGGGGTTCCCAGGTGCCCCTTCGCCTACCAGCCTCCGCCTGGGTCCTGTTGCTGCGCTTGATCATGATCCCCAGGTTGTTCTTCAGGACGGCCAGGTTGCCCAGCGCCCCCTGCACGTTAAAATCCATGAAGCGGGTCAGTTCCGGCAGCCTCCAGACGTTCTGCTTCTGGTCCCAATCCACGTGGACGGTCTCCTCGTCGTCAAACTCGAACATGAGTTCCCCCGCCTCCTTCCTTGAAGGGAAGCTCTCCTGGAAGAAGTCCAGCTCCACCTCCCTGTGAACTGAACCGGGAGGAGCGCGGGAGAAGGAGAGCGAGAGAGAGAGAGCCAGGGAGGGGAGGATCAGGACCCCCGATCGCCACCACGGATTGAGAAGAAGCCCCTGTCTACCGCAGGGGAAGGACGTCCTTCAAGGCTTCGTTACGGAGTTCTGAAAGGGTCCTCCGGGAACTCCAGCATCCTCTGGGGTCTTTCGCTCACAGAGCAGTCCCC